TCTTAGCCGTAGATTTAGCGAACCAGATTTTGTCTTGTTTAACAGGGATGGTCATACTTCCCTCAGCAGGTACCTCAACCATATACAATGACCCACGCTTCAAACCTTGAGCAATCACCGAATTACCATTGACCACCATCCATTTACCACCACCAAACCTTACTTCCAGTCCTTGTTTATCCAGCTGACCAACAGAAATCAATTTTTTCTTCAGCTCCGGAATAACCCTGACATTCTTCAGGCTCCATGTAGTTCCTAATGAAGTAACCAAATCAATATCTCCCATGCCCGTTACCTGAAGCATCTCGTCATTTGCCAAACGTACCTTTCCAAAATCTCCTTCTTTTAAATTCACCATCGTTTCCCCGTTGTCCATGGCGTGAAACGAAGCCCCTGAATCCATGACCCAAGAGTCTACAGAACTTTCCATACTGAGTAACAATGCATCATCCTCAGACACACTCTCAGCACCGGCAATGTTTAATTCTTTCTTTGGACATTGACTCTTAACATGTCCCACCTCCTGGCAGTTCCAGCACTTCACATTCTTCTTAGTTCTAGATGAACTTCTTCCCCGACTCCCACTGCTTCCACTATTCCTGCTATTCCCTCTCCCTCTTCCGATATTTAATAACTCAGAAGAAGAAGATCCACCTTGATTCTTGCGTCTGATATCTTCGCCAAGAACCAAATCTCTAACCCCTTGAAAAGTCATACCACTGGTCCCCACGGAACTCGTAACAGCGGTAACTGTTCCGGACCAGCTATCAGGTAGAGAAGCTAGTAGCAGTGATGCTTGAGTCTCGTTATCAAATTTAATTCTCACAGATGATAATCTGGATTGAATTGAATTTAGATTGTTAATGTGAACCGTAACTGAGCCTTCCTCATTCATCCTTGTAGTGAACAACTCCTTCATCAAGAACACCTTGTTAGCCGCCGATGGTTTCTCATACATATTTGACAGAGCCTCCATCATACCACGTGCCGTGGTTTCATTCATGATGTTGAAAGCAACGCTCTTCGTCAACGACAATGTAATAACCGCCTTGGCTTTCTTGTCCTTTGAGTTCCACGTATCTTCAGCAGCTTTTTCCATTTTCTCCGGTTTGTCTCCGAGTACCATGTCCAAGTCTTTCTGACATAGCAATGCTTCTAATTGCATTTTGCACCAGCTAAAATCAGAACCATTGAACCTTTCGATTATAATCTTGTCTTCAGCCATTACGGCAAACAAAAAAAAATAAGGTATACTCGTGTGTGAAGAAAAACGATCGTACCCTCCAAAACCTCGCTAACCGGGCTCTGATACCAGTTGTTAGGAATCGGACCGGGTACACGCAGCGGAAACACACTATCACACACACAAACACACGAAGGAAATAAAGCAAGAAGGAACACAAGGATTTTACGTGGTTCGGATTCGGTGTAAATCCTACGTCCACGGGCGCAACTAGATTTTATATTAACTCACTATAAGATTACAAATGGTAATATCACTCAGCACTTTTGTTGTTCTACGCTGCTTGTTGTTCTGCTGCATCGCTCTATATTTATACTACAAATGGCCGTAAATTTTCCTTCAATTTCATACTAAATTGCCGCAAATATTGACTTTGAAAGTTTTGTCATTCACATTAGCCGTCCAACAAATATTAAATAATTGTCCACCGACCATTTGAATATTTAATTCAAACGTTTGCCGACAACAATTGAATAATTCAATTGTTAAATGTAATGTTACATTTATGGCCCTTGAACTCTTAGGAACTTGTCAATTTGTTCAAGACTTCCATAAATCTTAACAGTAACCGTCAATATAGCTTTATGAGACTTCCCTTCAAGTTCTTATCTTAGTACCAACAAAAGCCCTGATTTTATAACCAGCGTCTCCTGGAGGGAGAGCATGAGTTTGTGTATAGATTTATACGGGACTAACAATCACGCACCTAAAATGTTAGCTACAGTTAGGCCGACAGGCCTGGGGTGACAAATGTCATAACGTTCCTAACGCCTGAAGAACATCGTATCAGGTCATCCTAGGTCATCAAGTATGGTTATAAAAGCTCACAATTTGGTATTAACAGAACGATTAGTGTATGAATATAAAAGTAACTTCAGGTGGTTTTATATATCAATGAAACTACAAAACAAGGTTTTACAAACTAGGAGGAATAGGTATGGGTCATACGAATACGTTAAAGTATAGTACACTATTTTCTAGTACAGAACCTACAGTTTTGGGCAAAACATATATTAATGCAGTGTTATCAAGTAACAAAACTTCAAGTATACAAACTTAGCACACATTTTGGAAGAAACAGTTACCTAAGCACATAAATACTGAATGGTTGCATGTAAGTGCATCTATAATACATTACCTTTTCAAGTACATTGTAGCTACATTCAAAAAGGAACACACTCATCACATCTAGCTTACAGGGCAAACACATCCTCAACTTGTTTTACTTATAAATAAAACTAGGTATCATTAAACTAAGTATTGCATTTATACTTGTAATTTTCGGTCTTGGAACGTTTAAGAATACAATTCGGTTTTATGGAAAATATAGGATTTTCCATGTCAAACATCATCTCTTTACAAACGAACATTTTGAAATTCACCTTTCTGGAAACAAATATGATTGCTTATATAATTCAAAGTGTCATGTTTTATTCTTTAAGTATAAGATTACATTCCATTTTACTAAGAAAACTAGATTATGACACGCGTTAAACGTGGGGGGAACGTATAAAAAATACATATAAAGTTATAAAAATCTGACACAATAGTTAAAAAAAAAAAAAGATAAAGTAACAGAAACAAACTTCGCATTAGTGGTAATATTGAAATGTCTAAAAAGTAAAATGAAATGTCTTAATATATATAGTCGTTGAAAGACCTATTTGTAGACAATATTTTTTGTTTTATTAGTTGGACGACATTCCTGGTCACATATGAGTACCTTCAAGTCTTTTTTTCTTGTGACACGAGAAACAGATACATATAACTGACCATGAGTGAAGATGGATCTACGCAAGTATAATGCAATATTTGATAATGAATGTCCTTGACTTTTGTTAGTGGTCATAGCAAAGCAAACAACTATGGGGAATTGTCTCCGTTGAAAACGGAAAGGGATTGTTTTATTATATTAGTTTGACATATGGAAAGAATGGTTGAAAATGGGAAAAATTTTGTGAAAATGGTAAAAAAAAAGCCTGATTAGGCTCCACGTCAATTATGTGAAAAGGTCAATTTAGAGCAATTTATACAAACAAACTTTCGTGAAAGGGGCATTTGTCAATCAAGAATAATGGACTAAAGTTAGGACATTTTGGTGGAAATGGGATACTTTTTTGGAAAGGTGAAATTGATAAAAAAAAAATGACCATTTTTGCATCAGGTGATAATTGTGCTAAGTATGCATTTTTAGGGCATTATTTTAGCAATGTACTTCCGATTATAGGTCATTTTGACATCAGGTCAAATTGGCTTAAACTGAGCACATTTTGGTTAGAATGTTTTTGTTTTGGCAAGGTAAAATGGTATTAATGGGGCTGTTTTAGCAACATGTACAAATGGTCCAAAAAAGCAATTTTAAAGCAATTCATAGCAATGCACTTCCGTTAAAATGGCCATTTTAATATGAAATGGAAATGATGGGGTTTGGCTTTCTTATTTCATTTACTATAATACTAAGCACACACAATAATGATCTTTTGTTCATTAGATTCTATCCATCTTTATTTAAAGTTGAAATTCCTTTGAAATTCCTAAGAGAAAGTACAATGCTTTTATAGGAAAAAAACAATCAAAAAATTAAAACAATTTATGTTTAACATGCACAGACGGAGAAGGAAAAATATATATTGAACTAACCTATTAGATGAATGTGAAGCTTGAAGTTATTGTTCTTCAAAGTCTGCAGTGGCTTGATGAGAAATTGAAAGTGTGAAACAGAAATTTTCCAATAGGTGGATGGGCAAATATGTCAATTTGATTGTGTAAGGGCAAATATGTCCAATAGGTGGAAAATATGGCCATATTTTTTTTACTGTAATGATAACCATAGTACATAATGGTAACATAATTTCAACACCCACTTCAAAATAGAAACGTACTTCTGAGTCATAAGTACATTGCTATTCTGGAGTAGGTATTGAAAGTTCATTGCCATTTTCCAATTAAAATTGTCTTGACATTTTCCCGAAAATGTTATTAAAGTCGAACAAAAAGTAAGATAATCTGGAAGAAACAATATTGTGCTAATAATATGATTAATGAAGTAGTTTTGGACCAAGGGCTACATATTCATTTTTTTTTTATTAAAAGTAGTTTTCGAGCAAGGGCAAAACAGTCATATTTGTTTCCATTTTTTAGATTTTAATCCCATGGTACAATGACTTCATGTTTATTATATGTTTGTTTGAGGAACAACAAATTCATGCTTTTTTTAAAAGTTGTTTTAGACCAGGGGCAAAATAGTCAAATTCGTTGCCATTCTCTAATTTTATTCCTCTGGTACATTGAAGTCCATGTTTGTTAATACTAAATGCTTTGACCTAATATAGTTGTTTACAAAAACTTTGAAAGGCAAATATATCCAATGTATATTAGTTAAAAAAAATGTCATTTACTATTGAAACCCACTGTATGTTTTGTTTAAGTGCAAATGTGCCCAGAAAATACCAAATTATAAAATAATAAATCTATAAATTTAGTAATTAGACTTTGTACACGATAAAGTTAATATTTGGACAAGAAAAGTAATTTTATTATATCACAATGTTTTGGTATGAAAATAGAATGTTGTAAGTGGGATGACTTTGAAAGGTAAAATAGGTATATAAAAGGACCTGCTCTTTCTTCTCAATGAATTACTCAACTATTACATGTTTCTTCAAAGCAAGGTGTAAGTAGATAACTCTTTCCTCCTTCTTTAGCAAATGACATGATGATATCTTCAGCGGAATTGTTCATTTTGTTACATAAGGTCTCACTGGTAATTTCGTCTCTTAATAACAATGACAACAACAACCACAAACCACCAAAATGTTTTAAGAACTATTTTTATGAGATTATGACATCGTTCTTTAATCGTTTTTTCACCTAAAGTCAAAGAGACTGATTTTACAACTCAAATTTATATTAAAACTTTAAGATTTAATCGTAATTTGATCAACCAGATCAATTTCACATAAAAAGATTAACCTAAGATAAAGATTTCCGGGTCGATATGCATCTGATAAAGGAGGAACATAATTACTTTTAGGTCGATATGCATATGGAAAAAGAACATAAAGAAGTAATATGTCAAGAGGTTTTTGAGAAATGTTTCTTGACCTATTTTTTTATTAATAATAGAACATGCATCCAAAATAGACAACAAATCCAAAAGAAAAATATATGGACAAAAATAAAACATTAAATGTATCGGATCACTGACACATTGGTTTGGAAATGGATCTCTGTAAATTATAAAATACACAATAAAGCAAGTGAAATGCTTAAAATGTTAATTAACATCATGTTTCAAACATGAAAAGTACCACAATGTTGAAAATGTTACTGAACATGAGATTTCAAACCGAAAATTTACCAAAAATGACAAATAAGATTTCAAAAGCTAAAATCTGTATTAATGAATGCAACTGAACACTCAGAAAAATTCAAACTTGAATAAAGGAAGAAGGATCTTTACCTTGATCTTCTTCAACAACTTAAAAAACTCAAAGGATTTAGTACAAAATCTACCCATAAGCCTTATCTTTCTGAAATCGGCCAACTTCAACATGACAACCTTAAATCTTTTCTGTTTCCACTGAAATAAAAACACAGAGAAATCAAGATTGACATTTTCAAGTTTCCAAAATGGGGAAAAAAAACGTTAAACCTATGCCAAAATGGAAAAGAATTTACCTACACAATAATTGGTTAAGTCAAGCAATTGAAAAATAGTTTAAGCAACAAATAGATATCTCTATCTATATGGTTACAAATTATAAAAGACTAAGATTTTTTTACTATAATTTGTGCAAAAAAATTACCTGAGAAAATAAGTTATAATTTTGGCGGATATGCCAATGACATGTATGTTCCTTTAGCTAACATATGTATGTAAGGTTTTCAATGATGAAGATGTTGACAGATACTCTGCCATTTCTTTTGCAGGCCAACAACTTTGGTGTTCACTATAAAATGATTGTCTTGGGTTTGCATGATATTTGTTTCAGTGATTATCGAAAGTTGAGAAGTTTGTATCCAAAAAGGTAAGGTTGGTCGATAACGGTCTAAAACTGACCCACTGTCCTTTAGAAATAACATTTACTTCTAGCTTTAACTTGTCGTCACAAACGTAACACACATATCCAAAATGGTTTGAGAACCTTAATGGAGTCTTGATATCATATTCCATGGAGAAGAACTCTCCAAATGAATAAAAAATGACTCCAATAGGCTGTAAATATATACCAACATGCAAATCATGATTAGAATTAGAATTCACTTGTATATAAATTAAACTTTGATAACATGAGACCGATTATTCTAAGTTTCACCTGGACTTTGGGAATGTTTCAGCCATGCAAGGTCTTATTGAATTGATAGGAAGAACATGAAGGTTCACTATTCTTCAAAGTTTCAACTGCCATCAAGGACCTACATAAACAAACCTTTTTATTAGCACTTAACACGTTTGATTTCCACAATAAATCATAAATAAAAAAAATGACTGAAAATAAACTACATCAGGAAATAAATATAGACTTGATGAACCTAAATCCAAGATCCAGTAATTGCACACGTAATAACATCAAAAATTATAACTAAATTCAAGATTTTTCATGTTGACATTAAAAAAAACCAACACCTTAATGCTTAAGAACTCTTAATATGGCTTTTGGCCAACTAAGCAACCTTCATGGCTGGATATATCCCGAAAATCAGGAACAATGCCAAATCTGATCATCATGTAACTTGGCCATTTTGAGTTAGGGATCCAAAATTGCAAATGTTGATAGAGAAAGTAGGAATACAAAAGTAGAGAAAGGATTTAGAAGTTACCTCATGATTTCTAAACCAAACCCAATAGCTACGTGATAGTAGAAAGAACCATGAATGGCAGAGGGTAAATATCATGGTCGAAAAGATGAGAAAACAACCCATAGAGGGGTATTGTGATACGGAGAAAGGGTGATTAAACATTTTTCGATCAAATTTTTAGTAAACCTGATAACCAAAACATTATTATTCAGATGTAAACAAAGTTAGAAACAGTCACCTGAATTAACGTCAGGGTTACGCTGGATGTGGTCTCTTCTTCAATCGGACTTAATAATATTTATTGTTTCTCCAAATAGGGTCTATCTTATCATAATCAAACTCAAATTAGAAATCTTTTAACAGGGAATCCTTCGAAAAGTATGGCTGATGGATGAATACAGAGAGAGAGAGAGAGAGAGTTTTTGGGAACGAATTTCGGATATAGAATTTTCCTCGCAGAACAACCATTGACATGGAGGACGAAGAGGATTATGGAATTAGGGTTTAAGAGAGATAGAGGAAAAAGATGGGGCGATTAATGTTTTTTTGTTAGACTTACGGAGAAACTGATATCCGCTACATAAAATACAATGATTTGTTTAAATTGATAGCATAATTGTTGAATTTAAAGATTTCATAATTAGCTGTAATTGTGTTTGACTAAAAGTTTGGTCATGATGTCGTCATCAAAATGATCTAAGAATGGAAAACTTATTAATGAAATGTAATGAACGGCCCTGATTTTCTTTAGTTTATAATTAAAGGTTTTTTTTTAATAATATTTAGAAGTACAGGATTTTCTGGAGGAACACACGAACATTTTCAAAAAACTCAGATTATAACTTCTATAACAAAAATACTATGAACTCACCAACTTTAATGTTGACACTTTTTCAAACCACTTGTATTCTCAGGAATATTAGTAGACAGGTACCCTCTCAGGCGTTACGAAGACGGAGCATAGTAGTATTACGTCTTATCTTTTGCTATATATCTAATGTTAAAAAGCAATGTTTTGAACACAATGTAAAATATATATTATCAATACAATGGTTGTTGTTGCTTTGATTACTATTATACAATCATTGTGATACTCTACAAGACGTCCTACACCCCCGAACATTTCCACCGTTCCGGTTTGGGGGTGTAACAGTTGACCTCAAGCCTCATAGACTTCATGTGTTCGAAGCCTTAATGGAACTCTCACTACAAAGGTTCCTTCCCAATTAGGCTATATTCACATTAGCCTAAGAGCTACCTTTCTCTTCTCATATTGAGTAAAGAGATTCTGCAATGTCCATATATTTCGCAGAGGTACAATGAGTTCTTAAACACAATTTTTTCACTAAAATTTATTTCATTATCAAACACTTCACTGAATATCCTCGACATCTCTGGTGGAAACCTACCCGAATGTAGATATTGCAACGCTCTGTGTTTATGATCCTAACTCATTCTTCCGTGATGATGGTGAAACGCAAAAATCCTAATTTTTAAGGAATTCACGGTGAACATTTTTGTTCAAGATTATAACGAAACACTTGTTTTAGTACCTTTTTGATATTCAAAATCATGTTCCATTCGACATGCGTGATCTTCATGAAATGTTCTAAAACCAAAACAATTTTTTCGCAACAAGATCTAGTTTTGTTTTTTTTATTTTTTTGAATGTGATTTTTGTCTGAATGTCTATATGATTTCTTGTTAATACATATAAATATCCAACCATACTTTTTGTTGACTACACTTGTCATCCATATAATTTTGTTCAATTGACTCACACTTATGTTAAGTTGTGGTGTTGAGAAACATTGAGCCTACCTTTCGAAACAAATAGAAAAGAAGCCATTCGATGTTCATTAATGAGTATTTGATTGAAATTCACGGGAAACCACACAAGCAGTTTGTCATCTATCTTGGTGTCGAATGAAGAGATCCCCGCCCGAGATCCAACTGCTTTCGTATCAAATGCATTTTGATATCACAACACCCACACTTTTTTTTTAAAATTGCTTCTCACTCATTATTTGGCACACAATTGCACTAGAATCCTTGAGGTTTTGGTTAATACCAACTCGAAACAAAGATTTCGAAGAGTCTGCATATGATTTCTCTTTCATATCCCAAAAGCGAATGAGCCTTACCTCAGTACGAAGGAATGATGTTCTCCTTGTGTCGAAATAAGAAGGTGTACTTAATCACAGTTCGAAATAAGTGACGGTTCTTATCCGGTTAGGAACAACAAAAGATCCGACGGACATAACAGTTCAGGATCTTCTCGAGATTTGAGGAAAACATGATGATCACTTTTATTACATGGCGGTTTTTACGGTGAATGGTTAAATAACCAATGCAATACGTGGCAGTGTCTAATTGGTTACCGGTTCAAATTTAAAGAATCTGTCGATTATAAAAAGAAATCGATGCTATTATTTTCAGACTTTATGCTCTGAGAACAAATTTCCCAATATCATAACTTCTTCATCGTCTTCAGCAATTCTTACATTCACAACAATGGTTGCTCCTCAAACTAATGTTGATCCCACACACACCACCAATGAAAAAGAAATCTCACAACCCCTGATGAAGATTCATAACACGAATCTTCGTTTGCTGCCAACAGTTAATCAATATCCAGAACAATTACATATGTTTATTTTAGCCTTAAATCACTTTGTTCTATCCATAATGTTATCATCTTTGTTTGCAGTCTCGATGTCTTGGCTTTATCATGTTGGTTCTATAACAGTGTTCAATGAATCCACTAAGGTTGTTACGTTTCAACCGACGAACAAAAAGATGCAAAAGCTTACAAAGAAGCAGTTTAACCAAATCATGAAGTTGTTATTTTATGAAGTCACTAATGAACAAGTTCTTTATATGTTCAACGAGATCGGGAATCAACCAGTTATGACTGGAATAAATCTATTTCGAAAGTCGAGTCTTCCATGCGTAAGAAATTTTCTTTTTGGAATTGTTTTACGATGCTTGACTGGCCGTAGTTCAGGGTTAGACAAAGCAAAATTCGAAGTTTATTCTCTTCTTGCTGGACTGTACTATGTATTGAATGTTGATTATGTTACACTATTATGGGAGGAATTTGGCATAGCTATTACTCACACCAACTTGACAAATGGTGTTTCATGTGCTCGATATTTGTGTTTGATTCTCAAGAAAGTTTATGAAAAATAAGGGATTTTGGTTCCTTCTGATGTCGAAAAAGTTGATTTTTCGACGTTGGCTGCTCCATGACTCGTTGTTGATGATCCAACATTTTTTTCCTAATGTAGCTCGTATTCCAGATGCGATGCTAAGGCGTATTGATCTGAAATATCGAATCCTTGTTCAGTACTAGGCAACAATTGATGCTAATGTTTCTGTTGGTGTTCTTCCACCAAAAGGGGCTGAGGTTTCTTCGAAAGTTGTTAAAGTAACAAAGAAGATGAAGCAGACTGAGAAACCACAACCTGTTCAATAACCTGTGGTGGAGGAAGTTTCAAAGGAAATTTTTCCTTCGAAGATTGGTATTCTCAAGCACACCAAGAAACTAGACAATAGGCCTTGTCATTCTCCAGTGAGGCCATCTATTCACGAACCTGAAATCAAGACAACTGAGTAAACACAGGTTGATTCTTCATATACTCTTTCGTCACCAAAGGGTATCAAGAAGTGTAGAAAGCCTTAATTCCACAGAAGAGGTGTGATGTTTCGAGACATTCATGTTACTGCTTCTCCTGCATCGAAGAAACAACGGGCACTCGATATGTCTCAAAAGTTACAACAAAAGAAGCGAAAGCATCAAGATCCACTTAATCAAGTTGTTGTTGAAACTGAAAAAGAATATAATGATGAGGATGTTCGCAATGGTGATTTTGGGCTTGGGTCACCTCAAAGGGATTCCCCTCTCAAGGTGAATTTCGAGGAGATAGGAGATCTTGGTGTCACTGTAGACGTATCTAATACGAATACAAGCACCAATTCGAATGATCAAACATCTACATCAATCCCTGAGCAGACTACAGTCATACCACTAGGGTTTTCGCATCCTAAGTCCTATATAGAGGAGGTCCGAACTCCAAGCATCCATGTGAACTTATCTTATAAGGACACAAATATTAATATGAGTGAAGGGGTTCAGAACAATGAAGCCATTGTTACTTAAATTCTTGAAACATCAA